TCGGTAGAACCGACAACGACCGTCGTTGTGCCGATCTACACTACACCATCCGTGTTCAAGGTCGAAGGAAGAGTAATCGGCGGAAAGTTGGAAGAGTTCTTTGGTACAACGCCTGCCGAACCTGCCAGAGGTACGTTCGTTTCCCCTCTAGCTTGTAGGCATATATTTTGATTGGCGTTTTTCTTCAGCCGATATCTGTGCCTTGAATCGAGATCCGGGACCGTGCCGAGGCTATCATCCAATGTACTACCACGACTTTCAGCTCAAGCAGTGCTTCCCGTTCATATACGGTGGATGTCGAGGAAACTTGAATCGCTTTTCTACTATTGAGGGTAAATAGCAGTATGGGTTTATTGACCAAAAACTATGCGAACTGAGTGATACAATTAGTATCAGTCAAAGTCCTGACACGTGTAATAACGCTAATATCTGATGTACGATTGAACCCCTTCTCATACACGTCATGAAACAGTTACAGTGTTGAGTTAAGTATAGTTGTTTCATTGCAGCGCGGTCCGTGGCATCATATAAAGAAGCGGATAAATTTTGCTGCTATTGTGTAGCTGATACCGAACAGGTCTTCATGTTCATCAGTGATGATTCAGAACTTTATACTGTTCATGATGTTTCGTGTCGATGACTGTCAAACTTGTTACAACAGAATGTTGTTCATAAATAGTAATAAGCATGAAGATCATTCATAAGAGTTTCACTCTGGGGAGAATATTCATTGCTTAAGTGACGTTGTTACTGATTATACAGGTTACAGCGTAACGTAACGTGCCGTATTAAATGTTAATGTCGCATATGCGTTTTGTACGATGGCGTGTTAGCACATGTCCAAGAGGTCTGTTTCGAACTCCGGACTTATGGGGTTCAGTTGCGTTCGAGGGCAATATGTCTTATTCATGAATTTCCTTGAGCAAGGAATTTACAGCACATTGTTTCAGACTGGAGTTGCTCAGTCCGTAGAGTGTCGAACTCAGGACCGATTGGTCCTCTGGTCAGAGTCTCTTGTCAGAGTCACTTGCTCTTTTTCAGAGACTGATAAACGAGTTCCATTCTGTAGGAAGGAAACGGGACACCACACGCTACATTTTCTACGTCGCTGTAGACTCTGTCTTAAACAATTAAGGCATTCCTGGCTGATGACATAGAAATGAAGATCAGTAGTGCATCAGTAATTTCACGAAAAGAATGGCGTGAAAATGCCCAATGCCCCACCACACCGTAGTTTGTGGTCTCCTGTTCCTTCCCACACAATCGTAATGATTTATCATCAACCTTGGAAATAAGGAAGGCTTGTGATCCGACTGGGGCTATAATTTAGGACCTGTCGGTTTTGACTCAGATGCTCTACCGGCTGAGCAACTTCGGTTGTTTCGTGAAACTTAGTATGAAACCACCAGTTCAATTCCAAATTCGCAACGGTAACTTTAATAGCTGAGCAGTATTAATGAACGTCGACTCTAATAACTTTTTAGTTTGTTGGGTTAAATTGCAGCTATAGCATTTCGCGTTGACATCAGCTGAGAAGGACGTCTTTAATGACCGCTTGATTTTTTATCAATACGCGCATAAATATGTAATGATCCAGTTTATTGTAGAATGCGAAAATATTTGCAAGGTGGTCAAATAT